GCATGGTAAGTCAAAAGGAAAGTGCACTGGACACAGAACTCAACACTGCAGAAAGCCTAGAAGAGAATAGGAAATGCAGAAGTGAAATCAAACAGAAAACTGGGAATGCAAAGAGAGGGCATGAAAGAATATGTTCAAGCTAAATCAAGGAGAAACCAAAGATGTTTTATCAATACATTAACGAATACAACAATAATTAAAAAAAGAGTAGAGCCTGTAAAATATGAAAAAGATAACGTGTAGAGGTGGAAGATGTGGGTACTGCCAAATGAGTGTGTTGTATGTTCTTACATTGAAGCTAGGAGTGTTAAATATTGAATATGATCAATATAGGGAGAAAGAAGAATTAAAGAGATTGACTTAAGTATGACTTACAATCAAGTGATAGAATTACATGTTTGTCAGTGAAGGGCAAAGAGAGAAATTGGAGTGAACAAAGAACAATACAGCACAGGAACAGGCCCTTTGGCCCTCCAAGCCTGGGCTGACACATATTGCCCTTCCATACTAAAACTGTCTTCACTTACAGGATCCATACCTCTCTATTCTCTTCCTATTCATGTATTCGTCCAGGTGCTTCTTGAAAGCTGCTCTTGTGTCTGCTTCGACCACCTCCAATGGCACCACGTTCCAGACACTCACCACCTTTTGTGTGAAAAACTTGCCTCGCACATCTCTATTAAACATCCCCTCCATCCCCCACCGTGGACCTGTGTCCACTAGTAATTGACCCCTCCACCCTGGGAAAAAGCCTCATACTTTCCACTCTATCCATACCATTCACAATCTTATAAACTTCAATCAGGTCACCCCTTAGTCTCCTGCATTCCAATGAAAATAAACCCAGTCTAACCAACCTTTCTTCATAGCTACAATCCCCCAAACCAGGCAACATCCTGTACCCTCTCCAAAGCATCCACATCCTTTTGGTAATGTGGTGACCAGAACTGTAAGCAATATTCCAAGTGTGCCCTAACTGAAGTTCTATAAAACTGCAGCATACCTTGTCTATCCTTGTACTCAATGCGCCTTTCAATGAAGGCAAGCATGTCACAGGCCTTTTTTACTGCCTTATTCACCTGCGCTGCCAACTTTACACCCAGATCCCTCTGCATATCAATACTCCTAAGGGTTCTGCCATTCACTGTATAATTTCCACCTGTACATGACCTTCCAAAATGCATCACTTCACATTTGTCCTGATTAAACTCCATCTGCCATTTTTCTGCCCATGCCTCCAACTGATCTATATCCTGTTGTATCCTCTGACAATCCTCACTATCCGCAACTCCACCAATCTTTGTATCATACACAAACTTACTAATTAGACCAGCACGTTTTTCTCCACATCATTTATGTATGCCATGGACAGCAGAGGTCCCAGCATTGATCCCTGCGGAACACCACTAGTCACAACCCTCCAATCCAAAAAACATCCTTCCACCATGACCTTCTGTCTGCTATGACTGTGCCAGTTCTGTATCCATCTTGCCAGCTCCCCTCTGATACCATGGGACTTCACCTTCTGTACCAGTCTGCCATGAGGAACCTTGTCAAAGGCTTTACTGAAGTCCATGTAGACAACATCAACCACTTTTCCCTCATCAATCACCTCAAAAAACTCGATCAGGTTAGTGAGGCAGGACCTCCCTGCACAAAACCACACGGTCTATCGCTAATAAGTCCATTTGCTTCTAAATGCTTATAGACCTTGATCCTAAGAATCTTTTCCAGTAATTTCCTTACCACCAACATAAGGCTCACAGGCCTGTAATTTCCTGGATTATCCCTACTACCCTTCTTAAACAATGGGACTACACTGACTATTCTCCAGTCCTCTGGTACCTTACCCATGGCCAAAGAAGATACAAAGACATCTGTCAATGTTCCAGCAATTTGTTCTCTGGCCTCCCACAATATTCTGGGATAGATCCAGGGAATTATTTACCTTAATACTTTTTAAGACACTCAACACCTCATCCTTTTTAATAGCAACTTGGCTTAGAAGTTTGACACTCCCTTCCCTGAGATCATCCTCACCAATTCCTTCTCTTTGATGAATACCAACACAAAGTATTTGTTTCGGACGTCTCCTGCCTTTTCTGGCTCCACACTTTGATTCCCTCTTTTGTCCTTGAGTGGGCCAGTCCTTTCTCTGGCTACCCTCTTGCTTTTTATATACGTATTAAAAAGCTTTGGGGTTCTCCTTAATTCTGCTTGCTATTGACTTTTCATGACCCCTTTTAGCCCTTCTAATTCCTTGTTTAAGTTCTTTCCTACTTTCCTTTTATACTTCAAGGGCTTTGTCAGTTCGCAACCTCCTAGGCCTTACGTACACTTCCTTTCCCTTTCTGACCAAGGTCATAACATCCCTGGTCATCACATCCCTGGTCATCCAAGGTTCACGTAACTTCACCTTCATTCTCACAGGAACGTACCGCTCCTGACCTCTTATCAACTGTTGTTTGAAATGCTCCCACATGTCTGATGTGAATTTGCCCTCAAACAGCTGCCTCCAAGCAAAATTTTCCAGTTCTTGCCTAATATTGTTGTAGTTCACATTCCCCCAGTTTAAGACCTTCACCCAGGGACTGCTGTTATCCCTATCCTTGAATAACCTAAAACTCACAGTATTATGATCACTACTCCCGAAACGTTCTCCCACTGAAACTTCATTCCCCTGGTCTGGCTCATTTCTCAAACCAGGTCCAGTATAACCACTTCCCTGGTCAGGCTGTTTACATACTGTCATTAAACCTTCTGGATTGGTCCTTACAAATCCCGCCCCTTCCAGGCCCCTAACACAAAGTGAGTTCCAGTCAATACAAGGGAAGTTAAAATCACTCACCACAAAAACCCTGCTGTTTTAACATCTTTCCAAAATCTATCTACATATTCTCTCCTCTATCTCCAGCTGGCTGTTGGGAGGCCTGTATTATACCCCCAGCATTGTGATTTCACCTTTCCTATTCCTGAGTTCTAACCATATTGCCTCATTGCACAAGTCCTTTGATATGTCCTCCCTCAGTACAGCTGTAAGATAGTCCTTTACCAGTAATGCAAGTCCCCCACCCCTTTTACATGCCCTTCTGTCACACCTAAAACATCTAAATCGTGCAACATTCAGCTGCCAGCCTTGTCTCTCTTTCAGCCAAGTCTCCGTAATTGCAATGATGTCATAGGTCCAACTCGAGGCACACTACTAGCTTGAAGTTCATCTATCTTGCCTTCTGTGCTCCAATTTTTTACCACTTAAAACATAGTCCGTTTTCCTGTTATTCCTACCAAAATGGATGACCTCACACTTATCAACACATCTGCCAGACCTTTGCCCACTCACTTAGACTATCTATATCCCTCTGCAGACTTTCACTGTCTTCTGCACACTTTGCTCTACCACTCACCTTAGTGTCATCTGCAAATTTTGACAAACCACACTTAGTCCCCAACTCCAAATCATCTATGTAAATTGTAAACAATTGCGGTCCCAACACTGATCCCTGAGGCACACCACTAGCCACTGACCGCCAACCAGAAAAACTCCCATTTACCCCTACTCTTTGCTTCCTACCGGTCAACCAATCCTCTATCTGTGCTAATACATTACCTGTAATACCGTGCAACTATATCTTGTGTAGCAGCCTTTGGTGTGGCACCTTGTCAAATGCCTTCTGCAAATCCAGATACACCACATCCACAAGTTCCCCATTGTCCACCATGCAAGTAATGTCCTCAAAGAATTCCACCAAATTAGTTAAACGTGACCTACCCTTCATGAACCCATGCTGGGTGTTTCCAAATGGACAATTTATATCCAGATGTCTTGCTATTTCTTCCTTAATGATAGATTCAAGCATTTTCCCCACTACCGAAGCTAAGCTAACTGGCCTATAGTTACCTGCTTTATGTCTACTTCCTTTTTTAAACAGTGGCGTCACATTGGCTGTTTTCCGATCTGCGGGAACCACCGCAGAGTCTAGTGAATTTTGGTAAATAATTACTAGTGCATTTGCTATTTCCCCCATCACCTCTTTTAGTACCCTGGGATGCATTTCATCAGGGCCAGGAGACTTGTCTAACTTTAGCCCCATTAGCTTGCCCAACACTGCCTCCTTAGTGATAATGATAGTTTCTAGGTCCTCGCCTGTTTTAACCTTCTTGCCATTAGTTTTCGGCATGTTATTTGTGTCTTCCACTGTGAAGACCGACACGAAATAACTGTTTAATGTCTCGGCTATTTCCTCATTCCCAGTTATTAAATTGGCCTTCTCATCCTCTAAAGGACCAATGTTTACCTTCGCCACTCTTTTACGATTTACATATTCATAGAAACTTTTGCTACCTGTTTTTATATTCTGAGCTAGTTTACTCTCATAATCTGTCTTACTTTTCTTTATAACTTTTTTTGTGGCTTTCTGTTGGCCTTTAAAGATTTCCCAGTCAACTAGCTTCCCACTACTCTTTGTTTTTTTGTATGTGTTTTTTTTTCAATCTGATACTTTCCTTTATTTCCTTAGACATCCATGGCTGGCTCTCTCTTTTCCTACAGTTCTTCCTTATCACTGGAATATACTTCTGCTGAGCACTGTGAAAAATTGTTTTGAAAGTCTTCCACTGTTCCTCAGTTGACCCACCATAAAGTTTTTGCTCCCATTCTATCTTAGCTAACTCCTCCATCATTCCTTCATAGTCTCCTTTGTTTAAGCACAGGACATAGGTACTGGGTTTAACCTTCTCATGCTCCATCTGTATTTTAAATTCGATCATACTGTGATCGCTCCTTCCGAGAGGATCCCTAACTGTGAGATCATTAATTATTCCTGTCTCGTTACACAGGACTAGATGTCGGATAGCTTGCTCCCTCGTGGGTTCCATTACATATTGTTCAAGGCCATGTCTTACCCCTTTAACTCAATGAATCCTTACAATGTCAAGTACTCTTCATACTAAATCGAAGCTGCTGGCGCTCTCTGCTCCAATAACAATTGCTCAAAACTTACCTGCTACTCACCAACAACAGTTTCCAGAAGCTGTTTAGGCTCGCACTCCTTGAGCCCTTGGAACACTTGCTGCCAACCTTCTTCTCATGATGTTCTGTCTCCTCTCCTCTGGACTTGCCTCTCCTCTTCTTTTTTTTGGGTCCGAATAGGAAGCAGGGATGGAAACACTGCAGTGATGTCATGTTTGGAGCTGAGTGTTCGTTAACACCAGGTGCCATGATGCCCTTCACACCCGTACTGACTGAAAGTCCACTCCCAGAATGCAAACAAGCAATGTCTTAGCACCCTCTGGGTGAGTGTTTGGGTTTTTTTTTGCCTGAACTGTTCCAGTTTCCAGAAGTTAATTCTTCCTCTGCTACTGGAGAAGGAATTGGTAAATTGGTGAGTATCTGGAAAGCAATTAAGGTTTATTTTATTTCTAAGGCTTGAAATAGTATATTTTAAATGAGATGAGTGGAGAGCAGAAACAGATATGGATCGAGAGGCCTAAATGCAGTGAAGCCAACGGTAGATTGAAGTTACAAACCACAGTATTATGGGAATGCAGGAAAAGCAGCTGATTGGGGAATATTTCTAGTCCTCAAAGAAAGAATAAAAGTCTTTGGTTAATGTTAGGTCTCTAGATTTTGTTCTCTTTTCTTAACAATAGCTTGTTCAGTAGGTGATTCACATTGCCCTACGATAAATTAATTACAATAAAACTGTGAGAAGAGTAGTAGATTCTTCAAGGGTAAAAAGGAGGGATATTATTGATAGGTTAGCTTAAATATTGGTATGACAAGTGATATAATGCTACTGCTGTATGTGGGAACTGCTACCACCAAGACGATTGACAGCAAACACATTTGTAGTGAGTATTTACAGCTTGGAGGATCGTTGGATCAGAATTGAGCAGCTGCAGTCTGAGTTGCAGACGTTATGCCACATCGAGTTGAGGTAAAGTTACCTGAACATTTTACTCCAGGAATTAGTCATACTGCTCAGAAGATGCTATTCAAACCTGGCCTGTTATCAGGGACAGAAGGTAATGACTGCAGGCGAGGCAAGAGTAGGATTCAAGGAGACTCAGTCGATACAACTGCTGAACAGTTTTAGTTCTTCCAAGCTGTGCGGAAGGGAGCAAGGATAACAGGAAGGATGAACAAACTGACAAACATAGTAAAGGGAGCAATTCAGGTAAGGGTGCAGAAATAGGACCATGGATAGTGGCAGCAGATAGTATAAATTAGAGGATAGACGCTGTTCTCTATATCCATAAGTGTGTGTTCTGAAGTCTGCAATGCCTGCTGGGTGGCAGTATAAGCTCATTTCATCAGAGCTGGCAAGTTACTTGGAGTGGAAGGGTGGAGTCCAGTTGTTGTTTACATTGCTAGCAACAATGTTCATTCAACTAGAAACGGAGAATCCGCTGAAAGATTTTGAACAATTAAGAGCTAATTTGAAAAGCAAAACCTCCAATCTCAAGAATTATAAACTATCACCGCAAATTATCATAGGGTAAATAAAAGTCAAGTTACATGCATGGCTCTAAACTTGGAGAGAGGGGAATGGGTTTTAGTTTGTGGGCCACTGGTACCAGCACTGGGTAGAAGGGAGTTGTTCCAGTGGGTCAGGCTTCACCTAAACTGTATTGGACGAGCATCCTGGCAAACTGAACACTAGGGTAGCACTGAGGGCTTTAGAATCATAGAATCCCTACAGTGTGGAAGCAGGGCATTTGGCCCACAGAATCCACACTGACCCGCCAAAGAGTATGCCATCCAGACCTACCCCTCAACCTATCCCCACAATCCTGCATTTCCCACGGCTAATCCATCTAGCCGAGACAACCTTGGACACTATGGGCAACTTAGTATGGATAATCCACCTAACCTGCACGTCTTTGGACTGTGGAAGGAAACCCATGCAGACACGGGGAGAATATGCAAACTCTACACAGACAGTTGCTAGAGGGTGAAATTGAACTCAGGTTCCTGGTGCTGTGAGGCAGCAGTGCTAACCACTGAGCCATCTTGCCACCCTTAAACTAAATAGGATTCTAAAGAGACTGAAGAAAGTGACTGGTAGAGAAGCAAATCTTTTTCTCCCAGAGGGTATTTTTCTTAATTCATTCATAGGATGTGGGTGCTGACTGGCCAGCATTTATTGCCCATCCCTAGTTGCTTTAGCAAAGGTGCTGGTGAGCTTTCTTCTTCAACTGCTGCAGTCCACATGCTGTAAGGGGGGAATTCCAGGATTTTGACCCAGTGACAGTGAAGGAACAGCAATACTTTTCCAAGTCAGGATGGGGGGTGGCCTGTCGGGGGACTTGCAAGCGGCAATGTTCCCACATAGACGGTAAGGATCTGAAACTCACAGCCTGAGAGAGGTAGAAACCCTTAACTCATTTAAGAGCTATCTGAATACACACCATAAGTCCTCAAAACTCCAGGCATATGGACCAAGAGTTGGGGCCCTCTTGTGGCACAGTGCTAATGTCCCTACCATTGGACCAAGGGACCTGAGTTCAAGTTCCACCTGTTTCAGAAGTGTGTAACAACATCTCTAAACAGATTGATTAAAAAATAGGTTAAATAAAAAGGACTAAGTGCTGGAAAATATGATATCTGGGGATTTAGGAGAACACAGTACTGAAGAGGGAAGAAATTAGAGAGGAGACATGACCACACAACTGGAAGCACAGCAGAAAGAAGTATAGTGCTCAAGGCATAAAGAAAACAAAGAGGAAAAAAGGGACATAAAAAGGTTCAGATCCTGAGTGGCAGCTAAAATGCAACATGAAGGGAAATTTAGGCAACACAAAAGTAATACGCCTCTTACTTGCAACTGAGAATAAAGGGCAATTTAACAGGAGACCTCAATCCAAATGCCTAGTGGAATGAAATTGACTTGTGGATACATTTGAAGCAATTCATGTCCAGCTTCAAAGGCAGTAGGGGAGGACAAGAAACAACTGTAAGAAAGGAAGAGCACAGCATCAGAGCGGGTGCAGTTACAACATTCAAAAGACACTTAGATAAATACATGAATAGGAAAGGTCTGGATGGACATGAGCCAGGAGCAGGCAGGTGGGACTAGTTTAGATTAGGATTATGTTCAGCATGGACTGGTTGGGCCAAAGGGTCTGTTTCCGTGCTGTATGACTCTATAGTCAAGTCCTCAAATTGCCAAAAATACGTGAAAAGTCAACCATACTCCAGAGGTTTGTCTGAAGTTAATACTGAATTTGGTGATGGATTCAGTAGAACAATGGGACAAACAAATGAGCAGCAAAACATGATGAGAACCAGCAGAAAGAGACCACAACTCACTAAGCACAACCAGAATTCCTAAAGGAATAAAAATACTGAGGATACATTAGGAATCCATTTGCAACCATGCTGGGGCACCAACACCATCACACCAGGATATCAGCAACTATACCACATCATAGTACTATGAATATTAAATTATGTTAACTATTCTTAAAACATGATTTTTTTTAAAAAAGGCATACCAACCATACACTCCCAGCTAGTTTATCTCCCAACAGTCGAATAATTTATCCACAGTGGTAACTGTACTCTCTCAGCATATTGTGAACAGTGCACTAGAGGACACAAAAGCTTGTATACCTGTAAAGATAGCACATTAAAGGTATTGCATTTTTTAAATGTCAAACTGGGCTCAAAATGAAAATACTGCATCATGATCTTACTGGCATCACAAAATATACAGGCTTGCTGTAGTGTTCCAGCAAAGCTCAGCACAAGCTGGAAGAAAAATACCTCATTTTCCACTTGGAGACCCTGCAGCCCTCCAGACTCAATATCCAGTTCAATAATTTTAGGGCCTAAATTCTCCCATGCCCAAGCCTCCTACCCCACACACCAGGCCTTGTTATCACATAGTCTGCCATTACACACTACCTGTTGTTAGTCACTAACAGTCCCCATTAACAACTATTCACCCTCCCAGCCAGATCATTATCCACTCTTGTCTGTCCAACTGTTCTTCTCTCTCTTTGAGCTCTATCCCTACCTATCGTTTACTCCTTACCCCCTTCCCCCACGCTATCTTCTGCATATAAACTGAAATTTTCCTAGCTATCATTAGTTCTGAGGAAGGGTCACTGGGCCCGAAACATTAACTCTGATTTCTCTTCAAAGATTGTACCTGCTGAGCTTTTACAGCAACTTTTGTTTTTGTTCACAAAATATACATGCTCCTCCATGCGGGTTCTGACATATTTAAGACAATAAGAAATTGGAAAAGGAGTAGGCCGTTTGACCCCTCAAGCTTGTCCCACCATTCAATAGGATTGTAGCGGAATTGACACTCCTTACATCCACCTTCCTGCCTTTTCCCCATAACCCTCAGTTCTCCTACTAGTCAAGAATCTATCAAACTATCTCAGCCTTAAATACATACAAGCACCCTGCCCTTCAGTTCTCAGTGCCACTGAGTTCCAAAAACACTCAATCCTTAGAGAAGAAATTCCTCCTCATCTCAGTCTTAAATGGCGCCCCTTTAATCTGAGATTATGCCCTCTAGTCCTAGACTCTTCCATGAAGGGAAATATCCTCTCAGCATTTACCTTATAAATCTCCTTAAGAATCCTATATGTTTCAATGAGATCACCTTTCATTTTTCTAAACGCCAATGAGTAGAGTCCCAACAGCCTCCAATGAAATAATATATTTACTCAAATAAAAGGGACCAAAGCTGCTCTCACCAGCACCTTGTGCAACTGCAGCAGAGTCTTCCCTAATCTTACACTCCAAACCCCTTGAAATAAGGGCCAACCTTCTGAGTCTTCCTGATTACCTGCTGCACCTGCATGCTAGCTTTCTGTGTTTTGTGCACAAGTACCTCTAAGTCCCTTTGTGTTGCAGCTTTTCTCCATTTAATAATATTGTTCTCCTTTCCAAAATGAACTACCTCATATTTTCCCATATAATACTCCATTTATCGACATTTTGGCCACTTACTTAACCTACCAATAACTTTCTGTAAACTGTTTGTATCCCTCTAGTAACTTGAACATTGGCAGTTTTCCAATCCTCTGGTTCTTCTCCAGAATCCAATCATTTAAGAATTGCTACTTCTTTGTGAAAAGGAAATCGTCACCTGTTTGACCAGATTGTGTGCGCCATTTTACTTGCATTGCGAACAAATACAACAACTTACATTTATATATAATTACACAATATAGCAGGCAATCATCCTGTGTTCTTAGAAATACCTACTTTAGCTCTTTCCACATAGCTCTGCCATTTTGTCCTTTCCAAATGTTCATCTTTTTGAAAGTTTTTAAGATTAGATCTGCTCCCACCACCTTTTCAGGCAGTGCATTCCAGATCATAACTCACTAAATTAAAAAAAACACACTAATTTCCTCCAATTCTTGCCAATTGCCATTTATCAATGTCCTCTGATTACTGACCCTCATGTCACAAGAATGAATTAATGAATGTTCATGATTTTGAACACCTCAAGATCTCTCCTTAACAGACTTCCTGATGTTATCATCTTGTGGTTTGCGGGAGCTAGGCAGTAGAAATTTATAGCAATATTTCTCGTATTAAAACAGTGACTATAATTATGTGAGAAAGAGCACAAAAGTGAGAGAGAAATCCCACTGGTCCTCACTTTCCACTCACCATCATCCATTTACAAAAGATCATCAGCTGCCATTCCCGCTGTCTCCAGCAGAACACCACTGCCAGACATATATTCCTCACCATTCCCTCGTCAGCATTCTGCAGGGACCATTCCCTCCGGGACATCCTGGTCTAGTCCTCCTCCATTCTCAATACTTCCCCACATTCCCAGAGCAGCTTCCAACTACCTGGCTATCCAAGACCTCAGGTACACCTTCCAGGTGAGGCACCAATTTACCTGTCTTTCATTCAAGAAGGCAGCTCACTACCACCTTCAAGGACAACTAGGGATGGGCAATAAATGCCAGCGATACCCACATTCCACAAGTAAATTAAAAAATCTTGCTTGCTGTATTTGCTGCTCATAATGTGGTCTCCTGTACACTGGGGAGATGGAATACAGGCTGGGTGACCACTTTGCATACCTTACGACTCTGCCCATAAAAGAATAGGTCTGAGCTTACAGTTGCCTGCCACTTCCATACACCACCATGTTCCTATGCAAACATTTATCTCTGACTGCTGCATTGCTCCGTGGGGCTCAAGCAAGATGGAAGAATAACACACATCTTCCGCCTAGGTATCTTACAGCCTTCAAGACTCAACATTGAGTTTAACAATTTCAGAATGTGAAAACCCTCCTCTATGTTCTTCATCCCCCCTACACACACACCTAGGATCTGTCTTGCATGGGTTGCTTTCAGCACTGCCAATCCATTTTCAACCATTTAACTTCTTGTCAGCATCTTACCTATTTGTCTCTTTCTCAGTTTCGCAGAAATCTCTGTTTGCCTATCCTTTTATTCTCTCTGTCTAGGCCCTGTCTCCATGCACTCTATTCACTCACTGCATCCAACCATCAACGTAAGTACTACCCTTTCCCAACTACTTTCTGTTCTGATGAAGGAACATCAAGCTCAAAGTCTGTTTTCCTCTGTATGGATGCTGCCAAGCTGCTGAGTTTCTCCAGCAATTTCTGTTTTTGTTTCTGTTCTATAGGTTAGTGTAAAGACAACATGCCAGATGTTGCAAACGCTCTCCTGAAATCCTGTTTTCAACTGAAGTACATGGAAACCTGGACGTTCCTATATGAATATTTCCATCGACCTAATAAAACCTCCAGTAATAGACTGAACTCTCAATGACTTGATATCAAATAGTCATTTAATAGTACAGATCTTCAAGTACTACGACTTTCATCTGACACTAAAGGCAATTCACACAAATACCAATTCAAGAGAAAGCCAACAATTATGAGGAGAGTTTACAAAAGGACATTGATAGGTCAACTGAGTTAATTAAGCTACTCCGGTTGCTGCATCTTTGCCCACTCACTTAACCATCAACATATCTTTGTAAAACTTCCTTGTGCTCTCTTCACAACTTACTTTCTTACCCATCTTTATATCAGCAACAAATTCCACAAGCACCCATTTCATGCAACTCATTTGTGCAAACTGTAAATGGTTGATATCCCACCACTCATCCCTATGACACACCACTTCTTTATCTTGCCAGCCCGAAAAGACCTCTTCATGCTTACCCTACCTCCTATTCGCCAGTCAATCCTCTATCCCAGGCAAATGCAACCCTGTACACCAGCAGCTTTTATTTTCTGCAATAGTCTTTGACATTATTAAATACCTTCTGGAAATCTGCATACAGTAGTCAGCGGTTCCTCTTTATCATTATTATCGTTTGTGGGTCACTAGAACCAGAAATAGTACAGAAGGTAGACGGAGGGTAAACTTGAACAGGAATACATTACTGTGCGTTTTCTCAGCTCCACAGTCAGTTTCAAACTACCCCCTCTCCCTGCCCCCTTACCAACCCCCAAAACCACCACTGCTCCTGTCTCTGCTTCACTTGATCTGCTCCTTTAAAAGGGCAGCATTAATCTAACTGCATACATGACACCCCTCCCTCTTTATTTCAATTTTCTCTTAACAACATATCTATATACACATCTGACAATTATATCTATTATACACGCATTGTAGCTATATACATCACCAGGTATATTTACAAAAAAGGAAAAGAAAACATCCATTCCGTAGTCTACATTGACAGCTCAGGGAATGGCAATTCCTAGAAATCTGTCTCCTTGTCTCAGAACCTTTTCTTGTGTAGTCTCCTGGGCTTCCAGACCTCCTGTTATTCCTCAGATACGATCCTCTCTGATTGGCTGTTGTGACATTGTTGTTATCTCTCTCCACTAGGGATGGCCAACCCTGACTTGCAGACACATGACTCCATCAACAATCACTGGTCTTATCTGGGCTGGCTCAGTATTCTGAAGGACGACCCCTCATTGGTGAGGTGCAGCAACCAGGTGGTCTGCGTGTCTCCTCCAGACTAGTTCATTGCTGTCTGTAGCATATATGACAATGGTCCTGTTTGAGCCACCAGCTCTGCTGGCGTCGATTTTTCCCCAAGGCATATAATTCCGGGCCAACACAATCTCTCCTCTTTGAAACACTCTTGACCTTGAGGTTCCCACCCTTCTGACCATCTGTCCTTCTTGATTTCACTCCACTACTTCTCTGGTCTCTTCTGGCCACAGGAAGGTAAACATGGTTCTCAGCCGGCTGTTGAACATTAAAGGTCCCCAGCAAGCACTGGGTCGTCATGTGTGCGGTGTTCCTGTAGATGCTGAGGAAATTCAGTTGTCATTCTAGCAAGCACCTGCTTCAAGGTTTGAACAAATCTTTTTGCCTGGCCATTTATCACAGGGTGATAAGGAGCTGATCTCACACGTGTGACTCCGTGATTTTCCAGGTACCCCTCGAACGCATGCGTCACAAACTGTGGACAGTTGTTACTCATGACCTGTTCGGGATTCCCGAACCTGGCAAATATTTCATCCAGTTGCTTCTGTTGCATATTGTTGCTTCTGCTGATACTGACTTTATGACCACCACCTTGGGCTACTTGGAGTGGGCATCCACAACCACTAATAATATCCATCCCTC